AACGGCTAGCGACGCCTTCGCCGCTTTCATTGGACCTGGCAACGGCTAGCGACGCCTTCGCCAAGGGCTGCAGTTTCATTGGACGGCGGTTGCCCCTGCTAACGGCTAGCCACGCCTTCGCCACTTTCATAGGCTCCGTAAATAATTAAATAATAGCCATTACACAGTATTGTTGGAGCGCTGAGGGGGGGGGGGGGAAGGCACTGCCACCCGTACCCTGCCTCTGCCGGCTGGACAATTTTGGCGAGGCCGCAGGCTCTGCACGCTACTAGGCCTCGACACCCACCACGCCACTCTGAGGTAAATTCATCAAAGTTTTTCCTACTCTTCACTCCACCCCCACCACAATGTGTGCAATTTATATTACTTTAAAACCCAACGCGCCAACAATCGATTACTTAAATGTTCACTGTACAAATAGTCATTAAGCTGGGTCAGCGTACTGCCAGTCTATCATGTAGACTGTAGCCTGCTTATTAAACTCGGTGAGCGTACTGCCACTCTATCATGTACACTCTAGCCTGCTTATGAAGCTGAGTGCGTGTACTGCCAGTCTATAATGTGGACTGTAGCCTGGTTATTATAATCGATTCTTTATATGTTCTTTGTACAAATAGTCATTAAGCTGGTTGAGCGACCCCAGTTCCATTCCAACTCACGCCCACCACCGCTGACGATTATTTGAAACGGACCTGGGCCTCCCCTAGGTCGACTCAGCCTCAAACGCGTAACTGCTGTCGTGTGTGAACATCGTCACTGGGGAGACAAAGGCGGCCGGCCATCGTGGATCCAAGTCCCGGGCGAAGCCGGGTCATGTGTATGTGTGTATGTGTTTATGTGTATGTCTGTGTGTCTCTATGTATGTGTGTATGTATGTGTGTGTATGTGTTTGTGTGTATGTGTGTGTGTATGCATGTCGGTTTTTTTGTATGTCTTTATGTGTATGTCTGCGTGTCTGTATGTATGTATGTGTGTATGTACGTGTGTGCATGTGTTTGTGTGCATGTATGTGTGTGTGTATGTATGTGTGTGTATGTGTTTCTGTGTATGTATGCGTGTGTATGTATGTGTGTTATGTGTGTGTCTGTGTGTCTGCATGTATGTGTGTGTGTATTGTGTATGTGTTTGTGTGTATGTATGTGTGTGTTTGTGTGTATGTGTTTGTCTCTGTGTATGTATGTGTGTATGTATGTGTGTGTATTTGTTTGTGTGTATGTCTGTGTGTGTATGTATGTGGGTTTTTGTATGTGTTTATGTCTATGTCTGTGTGTCTGTATGTATGTGTGTATGTACGTGTGTGTATGTGTTTGTGTGTATGTATGTGTGTGTATGTATGTGTGTATGTGTTTCTGTGTATGTATGTGTATGTATGTGTGTTATGTGTGTCTCTGTGTGTCTGCATGTATGTCTGTGTGTATTGTGTATGTGTTTGTGTGTATGTATGTGTTTGTGTGTATGTGTATGTCTGTGTGTATGTATGTGTGTGTATGTGTGTGTATGTGTGTGTATGTGTGTGTATGTATGTGTGTGTATGTGTTTGTATGCGTTTGTGTGTTTACGCTCGCATTACACAAATGTCTTGCAGGTCTAAGGCGTTCCTCGCGCAGCATTGCCGCTTTATTATTGCAGTCGTTTACTGCCGTGCGCACCCTGAAAGTCGTGTGTGTCTGCAGCAAGCGCGTGTATGTGTACCTATGGACGCGCGCGCGTGTGTTGTGTAGGGGGAACGGTAGTGTAGTGCTTAGCGTGCTGTCTGTGTCTGTGTGTGTGTGTCTGTGTGTGTGTCTGTGTGTGGTGTGTGGGGAGCGGTAGTGTAGTGCTTAGCGTGCTGTCTGTGTGTCTGTGTGTGTGTTTGTCTGTCTGTGTCTGTCTGTGTGTGTCTGCGTGTGTCTGTGTGTGTGTCTGTGTGTGTGTCTGTGCGTGTGTGGTGTGTGAGGAGCGGTGGGTGTAGTGCTTAACGCTACGCTGCGCTACCAACCCGGCGAACCGAGTTCGATTCCCGCGCACGGCCACCACCGGTGACGATTATTTGAACCTCCCCTAGGTCGACTCAGCCTCAAACGAGTAACTGGTGTGGCGTATTAACATCGGCACTGGGGAGACAAAGGCGGCCGGGCGTGGTGGATCCAAGTCCCGGGCGAAGCCGGGTCATGTGTATGTGTGTATATGTTTGTGTATGTCTGTGTGTCTGTATGCATGTGTGTATGTATGTGTGTGTATGTGTTTGTGTGTATGTGTGTGTGTATGTGGGTTTTTTTGTATGTGTTTATGTGTATGTCTGCGTGTCTGTATGTATGTGTGTATGTACGTCTGTGGATGTGTTTATGTGTATGTATGTGTGTGTCTATGTATTGTGTGTATGTGTTTCTGTGTATGTATGTGTGTTATGTGTCTGTCTGTGTGTCTGCATGTATGTGTGTATTGTCTATGTTTTTGTGTGTATGTATGTGTGTGTATGTGTGTGTATGTGTTTGTGTGTATGTGTGTGTATGTATGTGTGTGTATGTGTTTGTGTTTGTGTGTTTACGCTCGCATTACACAAATGTGTTGCAGGTCTAAGGCGTTCCTTGCGCAGCATTGCCGTTTTCTTTTTTCAGTCGTTTACTGCCGTACGCACCCTGAGTCGTGTGTGTCTGCAGCAAGCACGTGTATGTGTACCTATGGACGCGCGCGCGTGTGTTGTGTAGGGGGAACGGTAGTGTAGTGCTTAGCGTGCTGTCTGTGTGTGTGTCTGTGTGTGTGTGTCTGTGTGTGTGTGTCTGTGTGTGTGCGTGTGTGGTGTGTGGGGAGCGGTAGTGTAGTGGTTAGCGTGCTGTCTGTGTGTGTGTGTCTCTGTCTGTGTGTGTCTGCGTGTGTGTCTGTGTGTGTGTCTGTGTGTGTGTCTGTGTGTGTGTCTGTGTGTGTGTCTGTGTGTGTGTCTGTGCGTGTGTGGTGTGTGAGGAGCGGTGGGTGTAGTGCTTAACGCTACGCTGCGCTACCAACCCGGCGAACCCAGTTCCATTCCCGCTCACGACCACCACCAGTGACGATTATTTGAACCTCCCCTAGGTCGACTCTGCCTCAAACGAGTAACTGCTGTAGCGTATTAACATCGCCACTGGGGAGACAAAGGCGGCCGGCCGTGGTGGATACAAGTCCCGGGCGAAGCCGGGTAGTACAGCTAGTCTATATATAAAAGGGAAATGTGTGGATACGTGTCTGTTCGAAATGTTTAGCATACTTCCCAACATGCAACACACTTGAAATTTGGCATGTGGGTAGGTTCCATACTGTACACAATGTAAAAACTATAAAAAATAGACTTGTATTTTGGGAGGGGGGGGGGGGAGAAATGACCATGGAGTGTGTGGCGTCAACCCGCAACACACCTGAGTTAAGCGCTCTGCAACGCTTACCCCTACCATATGGCTCTTCGTGCGCCGTACTTCTAGAGCTGTTAACAGCGTGCCGGGAGATTTTAGGTGGCGCTTCGCTCCTGGCCGATGAAGCCATTGGCTTCTCGGAGTTTCAATACATATCCGTGTGAAGAACAGGTACAACTGCTATCTTAAATATTAAGCAGAAATTACATGTTTGTTTGTGAGAAGCAGCAAAAACTCTCCAACGCCAAGCTCTGGCGTCATGAAATTTTCACAGCTTATGCTGTCTGGAATTGATAAGTGAACACGACTATTTTCAGCTCGCCACGTCATTCCCTTTCCGAGTTGCCAAAATCGACATTACGTAGAAGTGGGTTAAGGTTAAATTTCCTTCAGTGAAAAACATCCGATTTAGTTAAATTGATTTCTTTCAGCTTTTTTCTTTCTTACAAGAATCAAATTTTCAGGGTTTTTCAGTGACATGGTTCACAGGTGGTGGCGTGTCCAGACCCATGCCTGGCTACCTTCATCCGCTCAGTATGAATGCTTCCTCACTCCACCAAGTAATTCATTGAGGATCAACCAACACAGCCGAGGCTGCATGTCTCTCTCTCTGTGGTGAGATGTTAACTACCTGTCCTGGCATACAGGAAGTCGTGGGTTCGATCCCAACCCTGACGCCTGCTGTATATTTGGAGCTTACGTGTCTCTCTCTATCTCTCCCCGTGGTCGTGTGGATTTCCCTCCGGATCTCCCGGTTGTCCCCTCTCCACATGCAGAGAGTGAACACCGCCACGCGTCCAGAGTGAACACCACCACGCGTCTAGAGTGAACACCACCACGCGTCTAGAGTGAACACCACCACGCGTCTAGAGTGAACACCGCCACGCGTCCAGAGTGAACACCACCACGCGTCCAGAGTGAACACCACCACGCGTCTAGAGTGAACACCGCCACGCGTCTATAGTGAACACCACCACGCGTCTATAGTGAACACCACCACGCGTCTAGAGTGATTACCACCACGCATCTAGAGTGAACACCACCACGCATCTAGAGTGAACACCACCACGCGTCTAGAGTGAACACCGCCACGCGTCTAGAGTGAACACCGCCACGCGTCTAGAATGAACACTACCACGCGTCTAGAATGAACACCACCACGCGTCTAGAGTGAACACCACCACGCGTCTAGAGTGAACACCACCACGCGTCTAGAGTGATCACCACCACGCGTCTATAGTGAACACCACCACGCGTCCAGAGTGAACACCGCCACGTGTATAGAGTGAACACCGCCACGCGTCTAGAGTGATCACCACCACGCGTCCAGAGTGAACACCGCCACGTGTATAGAGTGAACACCACCACGCGTCCAGAGTGAACACCACCACGCGTCTAGAGTAAACACCGCCACGCGTCTAGAGTGATCACCACCACGCGTCCAGAGTGAACACCGCCACGTGTATAGAGTGAACACCGCCACGCGTCCAGAGTGAACACCACCACGTGTATAGAGTGAACACCGCCACGCGTCTATAGTGAACACCACCACGCGTCCAGAGTGAACACCACCACGTGTATAGAGTGAACACCGCCACGCGTCCAGAGTGAACACCGCCACGTGTTGACGAGCCTCACCTTGTTGCTGTTGTGGGCAGGTCACTTCTGAAAACAAGAGCGGTATAGCAGCTCAAGCGGGCTTGGCCTGGTAAAAAAAAAGAAAAGAAAAACTGAGAATATATAAAGTAAAACAAAGTTACAAAGTTGCGAGCCAGGTGAAGAGAAATTAAACTTTAGCGAGATAATTGAAGCAAACGCGATCAGGCGAGGGCAGGAGGCAAGGCCCCGCGTTGATAAGTTCCAACCTGGACATCGCTTCCATGCTCGCTGCTACTCAATTAACATCCCTACGAGAGAGAGAGCGAGGCTCTACCTCAATAAACAACCACCACCACCACAACAACCACAACCACCACCGCGATGAGGATTTCTCACCTCGGATTTCAGTTCACGGGTGGAGCGGCAACTTCCTGGTACCTCGCGACGTCACGCGGCAGCAGGCGACATGACGTCACTTGCGGGGTACGATGACACTCCCCTCCCCCAATGAGCGGCTCTCAACTCGCGACGACTTTCACGACACATTATGTTAATGAGCCGCCAGTTACAGGGCGTGGCTTTGCCCAAATAAGGATTGGCACTGGGACAGATATCGGCAGCGGCCGAGCGGTGACGTCACGCTCAAGAGCGCGGTGGTCGGGGGTGGGTGACATGACTTCACTAGCGAGGAACACCTCCCCCTGGCGTTTGACGCCGATGAGGTCACGCTGAGCGGTGACGTCAGAGAGCGGGGTCAGAGTTCAAGTTTGTTGACATAAAGGGAGCGAGTTTCGACTTAGCCTCAAATGAGTACCCGGTGCGGTGTGTCAACATCGCCACTAGGGAGACAAAGGCGGCCGGGCGTGGTGCTGGCCACCCACCCCCTCGTGTGCCGTGACGACCTCCATCGGTGCTGCTCGCTATGAGCAGCACTTTGTACATGTCGTTGCTTGGCTCTCCAGCACACCGCTGGCGACATTTCACGATGACATTTTCACGTCCATAAAAATAAAATCGCCATACTAACCTAGGCCGTATTTTGGAAAAATTGGTCCAATTTTCCTAGTCTTCTTGGTTCTTTCGGTAAAGTCACGTAGAATGGAAATAATAAAAGAATAAAAATAAAAATAAATTATTCTTATTACGTTTCGGCCACAACGCAAGCAGCCGTCAGGTGAAGAACAGGTCTGTCAGAAAGAGTATTTCTTTCTACGTGACTTTACCGAAAGAACCAAGAAGATGAATCCCTGCAATCCAATATTCCTAGCTTTATTTTTCAACTAAAAGTGCATTTCTTGGTTGTGTTTAGCCTGAGTAGCCTATATATTACGTTAAAAAGTGTGGAATTTCATGCATGAAATTTAGAAGTAAAAAGAAAAAGTGAATTCCTCCATTTTGTTAAGCATTAGTATGATCTATATTACATTAAAAATGGGAAATTTCACGATTAAATGTTCACGTCCCAAACAGGAAATCGGCATACGAACCTCTGCCGTTTTTGGCTAAAATTTTACGAATTTTTACAGCTGTATTTTTTAACAAAAAGTGCATTCTTCGGTTGTGTTTAGCCTGAGTAGTCTATATATTACAATAAAAGTGAGAAATTTCACCATAAAATTTGATAATCACGGAGATAATAGTATTTATGCGAATGCTTGCGATTATGTTAATGTGTGCAGTTATGATAACTATGCTTAGTTTCGTTATCCAGAGTTGTATCAATTGGGATAACCGATTATCTTTGATTAAACATTTATTGATTATCTTAGTGTGTTTATGTTATGTTAGGTCTCCAAATTCATATCTCAACGCAGGTTACAGTTCTTATGAATAAGACAGTTTTGCATGGACTGGGAAAGAAGCACTCGAACACTTGGTGTTAAGCAATTTTAATTCTAAACAAAATATGACACTCTAAGATGCGACTCTCAGGTTCGGAATTATCGACGGTACCATTGGGGAGATTTCTCTCGGTGAGCAATACTCTTAACCATCAAGGCTTGCGTTGTTTCACTTTGGCAACCGCACATCTCACTGCCCTGACTCACGTGGCTTCTAAAAAATATTGATGTAAAGACAGTGCATCTACTAAGGGACAAGCGGTGACAATAGGATATAAAGAGTTACATTCATCAATCAGTGGGCAACTTGATTCTAATACGATGATGGTGTGATTCTAATAATTTTATGCGATTCTAAACCTGGCACCTCGCAGGCCACATTTTGGTCTTCTGATGCGTTTTTACATATAACATAGATTTGAGCACAGTGTAATTATGGTACGACAAAAATAATAATCAGATCCTGATCCTGCACCTTCCGTTTCACATATTCCACCCTTGGTTCGCACGTCCATATTACATACATACATTTTACATGCATACATGTTACATACAGACATATTACATACATACATTTTACATGCATACATGTTACATACAGACATATTACATACTCACGAGCATAGTGTGATTCAAAGAGGACCACGGAATGATTATAATAATTCGAATGCAATTCAAATATAAACACTTCATTGTACGGTTTCCTAATCTATAACACTAGTTAATGATGTTATTTCATAGCGTTATAATAGGATATATTGTTAGAGTTCACAAATTTAGACTTTACTATAACACTAGTTTACAGTAATTTGTATATTCTTCATATATATATGTTAATGTTTAAACAAAAATTGTTGGAGTTCATAATGTTAAAGTTCACAGATTTGAAGCTTTCGTGACTGCAAGGATTCATATTCTTAGGTTTTTTCGGTAAAGTCACGTAGGTAAAAAATAAAAATAAAATAAAAATAAAAATCACGACGTTTCGGAGGCAACACAAGCTTCCATCTTCAGGTGAAGACCATGTCTGTCGGGGAGACAGCGTCTGAATGAGCTGAGTAGGAAGGTGGGAAGGTGCGCCTTGACAAAAAAATTTGCATATCAAGAGGAATTTAGCATATTTATGGGAAATGCAGGTATGTGATGAGTACTACTTGTGAAATGCGTAGGAGGTGGGCGGGGGGGTTTCAAAGTCATATTATGCCCGTGCATTATGCAGGATTAGCAGCATCAAAGGCAGGGGATAGGGGTAGCATTAATAAAGGGAAGGAATGTAATAGTATGTAGCTGCAGTATGTAGTTTTTACGTGGTTGTTTATTTAGAGTATCGTTTATCCACGGCATGCTTCTGGATTAGGGACTGGTACGTTTAGAAACGATTAACAACGTGGACCTTTCCCCTTAAGGAACATGACAATGGGGGAGACAACCAAGATGCTGCCGATTAAGGGCAGACTTGTGTAACGGAGATCTTCCACCTGAAACTCTCTTAACACGTCTTTGCTATGAACATTGTAAAATAAATAAGGGACAAACATTTGTTAAAAATAAGTTTTTATTCATTTGCAATCATTTTTACGTCAAGTGTTTACATGTTTTTAAGTGCAGGTGATTCCCGGTATACTTCGGTATTCTGGACCTGAATGTTGCGAAACGATTCATAACGAGGACCTTTCCCCACCAGAGCGCAATCCGCTAATGAAAAGAACTCGGGCCGGCGGGAACACGTGCTTCCATGGGCAGTGGGGGACAGGGCATGGTGTATTGCCTACAGGTGCCACCGGGTATGTCCCCCAAGTTGCTCCGCCCATGGCGGGGTCAGGTAGAGGTCATAGAGGTGGGTGATGTAAAGACAGTGCATCAACTAAGGGACAAGATAGAGAGAGTTCGAGAAGGGAAGGCGAGACCAAGTGTGGGCGGAGGTTCACGCCGAGAATGAGAGAGGGGGAGGAACGAGGTTTGGGGCTGCGTTGGCTGGTTGCTGTCTCGTCGTCGTCGTTGCAATACCGTGACGCCAGGGTCCTAAGCCGCGTTAAAGGCTAAATAAAAGAACCCTCTGCAGTCTGAGTCCGGAGTCATTACAATTGTAACGGTTCATTATTTAACGGGCTAATATTGGGTTTGTGCGATTATTTTACATATTCATACTGAATATTGCTATTTGATGCAATTGAGATGGAACATTCATCCAGTAGTGGACAGCTTGATCCTAATACCACCAAAGTGTTATTCAAATAATTTTAATCCAATCCTGATCCTGCACCTTCCGTTTCACATATCCCACCCTTGGTTCGCACGTCCATATTACATACATACATTTTACATGCATGCATATTACATACAGACATGTTACATACTCACGAGCATAGTGTAATTCTTAGAGAACCACGGTGTGAAGCTAAGAATTCGAATGAGATTTAGATATCACACTTCAATGTACGGTGTTCTAATCTGTAACACTAGTTTATGATGTTATTTTATAGCGTTATAATGTATCGCTCATAGCTTATATTGTTAGAGTTCACAACATTATAGTTTACTAGAACACTAGTTTGTAGTGTTATTTTAAAGCGTTAGAATGTTTAGCTTATAGTTTAAAGGTTATATTGTTAGAGTTTATAATGTTAGAGTATGCTCTATGAGTTTACAATTTGAAAGTTTGTGAACGTGCCCTATTCTCGTGGGACCCGACACGAATTTGGAAATAATTGCTATGATCATGTCTGAGCTGGGATGAGCGACTAATGTTTACTTTGTTTAATCATAGCTGTGTGTAGGTTACTGCCATCGGTGCTTAGTGAATACTACTCATGAATGAACTCATACTTCTTTCGGATATAAATTGAAATCATGTTGGTAGAACAAGTCGCCTGCCTTTTCTACTCGAATTGTTATCTTCAAGTGTGTCCGTAAATAAACTGCTAAAATACACAGCATAGTGAAGGCTGCCTTGTTGGGGAGATGTAGTTTGGGTAAGGCGCTGTGGCCGGGTGATGACACGGATTCTGAAACAATGGAGTTAAACACTCGCTGCTTGGCCCCGTCGACAGCAGCGAAGGCTGTCATATACCGCCCCATTTTCGAGTTGGCTGTATGATGTGTATAGTTGAAGGTGCTAGGTGTTGTCTTCTTCTAACAGCTGCTAACGTTCGTGTTTTGTATGTTTTTAGGATTTGTCCATTGATGTTGTTCTTTTTATTGCGGCGTTTTTTTGTTGAGTTCTGTCACTTGAGTGTTACATTTGCAGAGTGCGATTATTATACAACCACACTGTGATTATAATGCTTCTAATGATATTATAATACCTTACTTCCGTTTATATGGTTATTAATTAAAACACTAGTTTGTAATCGTTTAATGTTTAGTGTTATCGTTTATAGTATTACAGTTCACATGTTATAGAGTACAGTTACTCCCCGACATACTTCGGGATTAGGGACTGGTACGTTGATGAACGATTAACTACGGGGACCTTTCCCCTCAAGGAACACGTGTTAATCGGGTAGACAGCCAAGATGATGCCGGTTAAGGGCACACTTGTGTGAAGGAGATCCTCCACCTGAAACTCGCTTAACATGTTTTGCTAGGAACATTATAAAATAAAGACC